TGAGATGATTTACATTATCCCATAGCGTTTAACTCTAGCAAAAATCGCTGAAACGCATCGGAGCACTACCTACTTTATGAAATTTTCACCAGGCTCCACCGTGAAAACGGATGGAACCCGCTGGCGCCACAGACGACTGTCAGTAGAGAAACAGATTTCTTCATGTCTTCTTATCCTGATAAGAGAGACCACATAACGGTGCTACTGATCACGAGACATAGCTCACAGAGCGGAAGGTATGGCAAGAGGTCACCGGTTATACATGACACTCATCTCTGTTGTTCATCTTGGGATTCCTTTGCGGAATCCAGAACGCCTTTAATGTCTTTTTTGCTGAAATTCCCGTCTCCTGCGCTAATATCGTGCACAACACTTCAAAATTGTCGCAGCTGTAGTGGTGGAGGTGGTGCGATGGGTTGAAAGCAGACAGGAACATGGGTTGCTGGCAACTTCCAATCATAATCGTGGCATAACAATTTCGGTATCAGGTTTCCACGAACTTTCCATAGGGAAGGGTTAAGACCGAGTGGTATCCCACGCATATCGTTTAGTGATAAAGGTGATCACTTGATCGAGCCACATTCGAACTTCGTCTCAGCGACTACTCTGTTTACTGTCGAGTTACTGGAAAAGACTTTACATCACAATGCACAAGCCTCAATCAGACTTGGGTGAATGCCGCTAAACCAGCAAGTGTTGATGGAAGGCCAGCCAGTAGTCCTAAACCGAATAGTCCAAGCTGTCCTGTTTTTTTTAGAATCACGAAGACCCACAAACTTTCCTCAACCGATATGCTGTCGACATCACCGGAAACTTATAAAATTCGTCCCATCAATTGGTTGTGTGGGGGAACCAACTGATAGAATCTCTTGGTTTCTCAATAATATTGTAAGCCAGCTGATGACTTTGATTCCATCTCATCTGTCCAAAACCAAGCACTTCCTCGAACTGTTACATAACTCCAACTTCGGAGAGGGTAATGCAATTAAATCCTTTGACGTTGATTCGCTTTATACTAATGTCCAAAACGAGCAGGTCTTACAAGCATTATCTGAAATGCTCGATAGGCATGCTAATAACATTAATAGATTTGAACTTACACAGTAAAATGCAGCAATTAAAATGTCGTAAAATGCGCATAATGATGTTTGTAAAGGAATGCTTGAGCTGCACCATCTTCAAATGGGCAGGGAAATATTTTTCCCAAGTGAAAGGGCTTGCTAAGGGTCACGGCTGGCACCGATTCTCGCTTTTTGTTTTATGGGCAGAATTGAAGAGCCGGTTTTGGAACGCCATCCTTCAATGTACTACAGGTATATCGACGACTGATTCATCGTAACGTCTCACACAGTTCGAAATGGACGAGTGTTTTCGACTTATGAATGAACAGTCACAGTACGTTAAACTCACACGAGAGATACCACATAAGGATTGGCTTCCTTATATTAACGCCCAAGTGAAAGTGTCCAGCGGCATTGTTAGTGTAAAATGGTACCGTGAAGCAGTTCAAAGAATATCCTAATTCACGCTACATCAGCTCATCCACAAGCCATTAAAGTCAGTCGACAACAACATGCTGAGAGCGGTAGCAAGTATCTGCACGGGTGAAGTTGAGCCCCATGAGCCATGACGTTTAGCTTGCAAGAAGCGCTGCCAGTGACTATACGGTACCGCAGCGCCATGGAAAGTTGCACACTAGTAGGCAAAGGTCTTCGCGCCTTACAAAATTATCATTTTGTCTCCCTTTTATCTCCGATAAAGTCGGCACTGCAATACAGCAGGGTATTTCTAGAGCTGACCTGGAAGATGTTGTCCAACTGGTGAACATACCCAACAGCAATACCAAGCAACAGTTGGTCCGAAACCGCCTCTACGTAAACAGTGCTTGACAAACGACTGTACAATATATCCTCACGGGAGGACAGGTGATTGCGCACTTATGGGCCTGATGTACTAGCTAGAATGTCGGGCATGTGGATCAACCTGTAGACAGGACGACGACTAGCTGTAGGGATAAAAGAACTTCTAGCCAGTATAAAGCGCCGAAACCTTTTGACAGCGTTCGGTCAACATAAAGTTGTGGGACGCAACGGCGGCAATATTGAAGTGATGTGCACGATATTAGCGCAGAAGACGGGAATTTCAGGAAGAAAGTATCAAAGGCGTTCTGGATTTCGCAGAGGAATCCCAAGATGAACAATAGGAATGAGTGCCCTTCCGTAATTGATGACTTTTGCCATTCTCACCGCACTGTGAGCTATCAGTAGCATCGCAATGTGATCAACCCCATCAGGATAAGAGAGACTTGAAGAAGTCTCATTCGCTACTGACAGTCGCATGTGGCGACAGCGAATTCCGTCCGCTTTGACGTGGAGCCTGGTGAGTATTCCAGAAAGGAGGTAGTTTCCCGATTAGTTTCGTCGTTTTTGCTAGAGTTAAACGCTACCGGATAATGTAAATCATTCAACTGTGTCTAGGCCTCTGGAGACGACGATCGTCGAAACGTTAGAATTTAACTTAATAAAGTGTCCCACCTGAAAACCTCGAACGTCAGAAAGTTTCAACAGCTCTCTGTTTCGTTGTTCCTATTAATTCTTGGCCCTGTCTTGCCTGCTCGACAAGGTCTAGAAAAAAAACCGTGATATTGCCGATGAGGTGGAATCGTCGGTATGGCTCTTTTTTCGGTAGAGGAACGACCGGATGCGGTTGAGTTGATTCCAGAAAAGGCGAATCACTCCAGTCCCACTCCTTTCCAGTACGCTTTTTGCACCACACTGGCTCGCCAGAGAAAGCATACGGGCGAGCTTTCTCCTACAGCAGATGGCTACGGTATGTGGGTCCTAGAATAAAATGTAGAGTCAGTTATTGACTCTCAGCTCAAAAAGGATATTGAATTCGAAGAAAATAGTTTATGAGATGGATGTAACTATGTGAAAATAGATAGGTAAACCTCTGATTAAGGAGAACTTTCGCTACATAGGTTATTTCGATAAAACTCAGTGACAGACCATGTTTTCAGCCAGGTCATAAAAGCCTCCTACTCAAGATCCTATATCATGGCACAGACCCTTCCTGGATGCGTATTTGGAATTTCTTTGGATGTGCTGTTATTAATAAATCGCAAACCCGAGCAGTAAGTCAATTCAGTACTGTTTCCTCTTCGATTGCTTCAATTGCTACTATACCAGTTTACTCATTATTTGAGCAGTTCCATTTGCAAGAAGCCATAGTGTTCCATCATTTTATGAATTGCAGGGAAGTCGTATGCATATTAACGACGCCGATGCAAGGTCCAATCATGGATGTATACCTGAAGTTGATCATAGTTGTGTGCATTCTGATTATTCTATGCAACTTGTCTTTTATACTTTTCTTGAAGAAATTACGCATGAGTATGTATTCATCACATTCTGAATATGATAGCGATCTCCATTGAAATCAAGGGACCTCGCAAAATCATAGCTGCGTGCCTCGAGTTCATAATTCCGTTATTTCAGATAGCGAAAAGGCCAAAAGCATCTATCGGTCTGTGGTTATTATTAGCCTTTCGGTCGTACTGGGCTATTTCAGCTCAATGATTATACTTTCTGTAAGAGGAGCTTTCAGCCTCAATATAGAGCCATTTTATTTGACTCTGTTCGCAGGATTGTTCGCAAATGTAGCGTTCTCTGTTAATTTTTTCGTCTACTACGGTATAAGGTTTGTTTATTAGACTGTATCAAAGTCGGTTTCTATTGATTTGAGCGTATAGAAACAGGTCGCTTTTTTCCAACGCTGTCAAGGCCACTGACCAGCTTAAGGTGAATTCTCCTTAAGAAACTAATGATTGTTATAGACCAAGGTAAGGAATGAGAGTGGTTTGTCGCAAGACAACCAAAAGAAAAAATGACTCTCGTAAAGTCTGTGTCTGTGTAAAATTCACAGAAAGAAGCAGTCTAAGGTCGCGTAGTTATGGCTCAACATTTGGTGGATAATCAAAGACAAAGCAATCACTTTTGAAAAATGGATTCGCATACGAACAAAATGGTGAAAAAATGACAGGGTCATAAAAGTCGCAGCGGAGCGGAAGTAGAATTAAGCTGTAATGTTAATCAGAAGTTGGATGAATTTGGAAATCCGTTTGAAAGGCAGCACTCAAATCAGCACACCTCCCACGATCAAAGCGTGATCATGTGGCTCGGGGTGGAGAGAGACGTAGTTTTTTCGTTGATAGAAGGGAGCATAACAGGGGTTTCGTTGAGACAATGAATTATTTTTCAAAATATGTAAATGTGACTGGTATTAGATTAGAGAGGAGACCTAATCCTCAATTCAACCTCATTGAAGCATTCAGCACAGCGTCTAAGTCTAAGGTATTAAACCTTATTATCTACTTTCAGCAAGGAATATCGAGGCATATTCGACAGTCTCCTTGGGATCGGTCATCTGAAAGCTTTACTGGGCAGAGCTAAACCCGGAGGTGTTCAGCTAAAGGATTTCTTGCCGAGTCGATCACCTAACCGAATCACAACCACCCATGCAAGCTAACTACACATCACAAATTGTGTTGTTGTGTTTAAATGCTGTAAAACTAATTGTTGATGCTTGTCGTCTGTTTTTTTTTTGAATTCGTACCTTTTCTATATGGATGCTTGGAAGTAAATTTCATATGTACACTCAGAGGGGTGTGTAACTTTGCGACGTTTACGCAACCTATAGCGGCATGAAAAAAATGTGAGTTCCTTCTCTATTTCAAGAGAATTTTCCCTGTTTTTATGCAAAATTATTTGTGTGAGACTCGATGAAGCACCGCTTTCTCGGAAAGTTCTTCATCGCTTTTTGTCCTGATTCTAGCAACTTAGAGTGATTTGCTTTCTTGAAGAAAATAGGAAGTCATTTGCTACCGTTCACCTGCTCCTCAGATAATCACAAGACAACCAAGCTTATCAACAGATCTTAAGCTAGCATCTTACACTCATACTCGTTGTGAACCATTATGTTGATATTTAGCAATAAACAGCGATTGCACCTACCGTATACACAATCCATCCCAATCTTGATCCGCTCTCTGCAAACGCTTCTTCAGGTCATAACGAATTTGGGAACAGACCGACAACATACAGGCAGACAGATTTATATACAACAAGATAGTTATGTTGCGAAGAAGGTGTTATACTCCATGATGTCACTGAATCTGAAACTGAACCTTCAAATTTGAAACTAAGCCATTAAAGCTGAAACTTCTGCGAACG